GCTTCAATGTTAGTTGTTATGACTAATAGGCCCCAGTGTTTACTGTTATGAATAGTAGGCTTCAATGTTTAGTTGTTATGACTAATAGGCCCCAGTGTTTACCGTTATGAATAGTAGGCTTCAATGTTTAGTTGTTATGACTAATAGGCCCCAGTGTTTACTGTTATGAATAGTAGGCTTCAATGTTTAGTTGTTATGACTAATAGGCCTCAGTGTTTACTGTTATGAATAGTAGGCTTTAATGTTTAGTTGTTATGACTAATAGGCCCAGTGTTTACTGTTATGAATAGTAGGCTTCAATGTTTACTTGTTATGACTAATAGGCCCCAGTGTTTACTGTTATGAATAATAGACCCAATTTTTTAACTGTTATGAATATTGGACCCCATTGTTTAGCTGCCATGAATAGTAGGCTCCAGTGTTGACCTGGTATGAATAGTGGGCCCCCTTGTTTGATTTTATGAAAAGTGGGTCCCAATGTTTAACTTTTATGAATAGTATTTGAATTTGACTGCATACTCTCATTGTAAAATAGTGTTGATAATAGATTTTTTTTAAACGTTTTTGATGAGAACTAACACAAAAATAGATATGCTATGCAGCAGGCAACAATATTTTGTAACATTGAATCAGCTAAATCTGAACACAAAATCAAGGTGTTTTTAGATTTTGACTTTATATGCTTATTAGGGATGAATGATAGTTAAATATTTTTATTAGCAGTTTTATTTTCAAAAGAACAAAAGACTAATGAAACAGTAAAAACTTTAACTAAGACTTGAGTTATTAAACGTGTAAAATAAATATACAGTTTGTAAGTTTTAAGTTATTTTTAGACATTTTCAAACATATAAGCTATTTAGATCTTTTAGATAACAATGTATTTATTTTGTTTTTATACATATTTGTTTTTTTAGAGTTGAACGGAGCGAAAGAGCAAGGTTAAAGACTGTCAAGTTTCAAGGAAAACACCAGTACAATGGGAAGGTGAGGCTTTTTTAATCCTTAAAATTCCAATTTGTTTATGTGGGGTCAAAGTACTGCATAATGTTGAGTATTTTTAGGCTTTTACCTGTTACAACACTTGTATAGAGGTGACAAAAAATTGGTTGAACTCACTCATTTGCTATGTAAAATACAAAGGAAATCCCATGAAGCAGTGAGTGGAAGTAATTGCAGTATTGATTAATTTTTTGTTTACATTATTTTGTTTAATTTGTATGTTATTAGGGGCCCTGTAACCAACACAAGTAATTTTGTGCTTAAAACAATTTAGAAAAATGTGTATGAAAAGCCACTGGGGCTTGTGAGAACGCTGTCAGTAATTTTAGGGTTAATGAATTACTAATAACATTTTAAATGAATTAGGTTATTGAGAATTAAGTAACATTACTGAGACAAGGTGAATCCATTTTGTAGCCTTTTGTTGTATATTAAAATAAAACAATATTATACTCTTTTAAAATGTAGAATACAAATAGTAAAACAGTATAATTTTGGAGGTATTTTTGTATAGGAAACATTAATTATTATGTTTTTCTACTACTTGTAAATTCTTTCCTGACAAAAAACATTATTAAACTATAACTAGGAGCTAAGTTTTTGTTTTAAAAGTTCAATTTAGAACGATAATGTCGACAAAGTTTGACGTTGTTGTTGTTATAAAACATATGTAGCTTATACAAAACAAGAAGTTGCATGAATTAATTCTTTCACAGCATTATTTATTACAAAGCCTGTTTCGTTTCATTTACCATTTTTAGGTAAACACAGAAATAGTAGCTTATGTAATGGTTGTTTTTTGTCTTTAGTAGTTTTTTTTTGCTTATCTAACAGCTGAAAATGGAGAAGAAAAAGAAAAACTTTTCTTTATCAAGAAAGTTTCCATTTATGAGAAGTAAGGATAATGTTATCAATGACGGAGAAGGTATGCCGTAATCTCTCATAATCTATTCCACTGTCTTAAGTTGTGTTAGTTATACAGCTATTTTTCAGCTCTTAATACTGAAGTTATGAATCTCAGAGAGAGAAAGAATGAAGCCCAGTTTATTCTTGGATTTGTCACTTAATTGTTACTAAGTTAAACTGTTTTTGTGGACCGACCCCATTTGGAGAAGGAATATTGACCATAATTTTGTATTTATGAAATATAGGTAGCTTTCAGTAAAATGTACAAGGTTGTTGTACACAAAAAATCTCATGTGTTGCAAAAGTATTTGTACTCAAGATATATAATGTGAATTGATGATGTCAATCTGACAAGTCGGAGTGCAAGGTGATATTCATGTGAAGACTAGAAATAGTGTTTACCATCGTACAGTTTGTATCTTACATTTACATAACCTCTAGAACTTCTGAAATGTACATCTACAATATTTTACAGAAATCCTGTATATTGTATCTGGTATTTACATTCCTCTACCTCAAAATTGTTGTTAAATCAGCAGTATAGGGTAAAATAAATAGTTGATAACTTTGACATCAGATACATAATATCATGATGAATGGCACTCTGTAAAAAGGTCATGGCATGCACACTCTGACTCCCTCCTGTTCATATAGGGTTAAAGACTTAATTTTGATTAACAGACTGAGAATTTGAAGAGTAGTTAAGTTTGCATATGTTTCAGTTCACCTGATATTTATTTCATCAATCAAGATACATGAAATTTTATTTTAGGATTGCTTGAAGATCCTGTACTATCTTATGAAGCAGTCACACAACAAGAAAGTAAGTTTTTTTGTCAATTATTTTTTTTTATAGTTTAGGGGATAGTTTTAATATTGGTTCAGTGAGTGAGTGACTATTTTTTTTTACTTTAAGTTGTTTTTTTTTTGTGTGTGTTTACAGAGAGATTCTTTCTATTAAGTTGCCATAATAATTTTCTTTAGCCTAGAAACATTTCACTAGAGCTGAAAAATGTTGGAGCATTGTTGTTGTTTTTATCAGAATCGCTGAGAATCCTCTGGATCTTCGGTGTCTTTAGTAAATGCCAACAATTTTTCTTTAATTACTATCCCAGCTTAAAGCCCCTCGTTAGTAAGTCTGAAGGCTTATAACACTAAAAACCAGGTTTCGATATCCGTGGTTGGTAGACCACAAATAGCCGCTAGTGTAGCTTTGTGTTTAACTACAACCAACCTAGCTTAAATTTTAACACTATCTCCACATCTACCACATTTTTCATTGTAATCTGAAATAAAACATGAAGTAAATCCATAAGAGCAGATACTAAAAGGAGCACTTTCAGGAAGAGGTGAAAGCTGTCTAAAGGATTTTTTTTACTACCTGAATATTTGCCAGGACCATTTTATGCAAACCTCATAATATGTTTACTCTAACGTTTCATTTTCTGCACATTGTAAGATAGCATTTTCTTGTTAAAATAACTGGAAAGCTATACACTTGTTTTGTATTGAAAAAAAAGACTAAAACTTGTTGGACTTGTAGCTAGATGTGTACGCAGTCTGTAGATGAAAAAAAAATTGTCATTGGAATGTTTTTGAAATAATCCTTGTTATACTTACCAATGCATGGCAACATTAATTCAAAGCTTAAAAACGGATTCAAAATGATCAAAGGAGCTTTCTAGAAGTTTGATGATTTTCAAGGATCTGTTTATAGTGTTTGTGCAAGTCTGATTACTCTATTTTTCCACACTTTTAAGCATAAGAAGCACAGAAAAATATCGTCCTCTTAGTGTCAAGGTGAGATTTTCAGCAAAAAATTGCAATAAAGATGCAAACCTTCATATGTTATGTTTTGTATCAGTTCATTTGAGATAATTTTTTCACATTTGGAATTTGTTTCATAATAAAGTGAAGTTCTTATAAAATACATTTTTCCACAGATGGGCAACAATTCTGAATAGGTACACCAGGGTACATGGTTATACCTATACTTGGTTTTGGTTTCTGTTCTAGCATATCCTCCGTAGTTTCTGACTTTATTCAATATGTTTATCTGTATTATTCTCTATAATGTTTTTGTCCTCTGTATATTTGTTATCAGTCTTTTTTTTCAATAAACTATCTTAGCTATGCTAGAAAAGCTTAGTGCTCTGAAGAATTACCTTACAGAAATAAAGATATAATCTTCATTAAGTTATAAGTTAACTGTGACAATTTTTATAGTATGAACTCCATTCACAATACATAAAACAGGGTCCTTCATACATTGTGTTACAGGAATGAGACATTTGAGTTGAGTATCTGATAATCAGGAATGAAACATTTGAGTTGAGTATCTGATAATCAGGAATGAAACATTTGGCTTGAGTATCTGATAATCAGGAATGAAACATTTGAGTTGAGTATCTGATAATCAAGAATGAAACATTTGAGTTGAGTATCTGATAATCAGGAATGAAACATTTGATTTGAGTATCTGATAATCAGGAATGAAACATTTGGCTTGAGTATCTGATAATCAGGAATGAAACATTTGAGTTGAGTATCTGATAATCAGGAATGAAACATTTGGCTTGAGTATCTGATAATCAGGAATGAGACTATCTGATAATTTACGATACTGCCACATCACTTTTTTTCTTTCTTACACTAGGTTATTATTTGAATGTGTGTTACAACAGTGCCAAGTTTGAGTGAATATGTTATGATAGAGGTTCCCAACTTTTCAAAAGTCATAACCCACCTGAGCAGCTAGACAATTTTCTGAGACCAAGGAGAAAGGGGGTGGGGAGTTACAGTTCTAATATATTTTAGTAAAGTTTAGTAGTGTTTTTGTAATTTTATTCTGTTTATTGAAAAACATTTAGGATGATTATTCTATAAATAATCTTACAGCAAAATATTCTTATTGTTTCTTGTTCTGTATAACTTCATCAGTCTTATTTTCGCTATTTTCAGTTTCTTACACCAGGCCAGTCATTATTCTGGGTTTCCTGAAGGATCGAATTAATGAAAATTTAGTGTGTGAACATCCAGACAGATTTGGTAATTGTGTACCCCGTAAGTTGAGTAGTTATTTATTTAATTTAAAACTTTTGTTTCCTATAATGTTTCACTTGAGGTTTAAATGACACTTACTGAAAGTGTTTTGTGTTCTAGAAATACACACACACACACACAACTTTTGGAGTGTCCGTCCGTCGGACGTAAGTTTTGTAAATTCATGATAAATGAAAAGTTGTCTTAGGAGATGAAAAGTTGCTTCCCTTATATGTAATTGTAAAAAATGTAAAACTGCAAAACACAAAAAGTGAAACTGCAAGTTTATATGTATCTCCTTATGGACCTAATCAACCTTCATGCCAAATTTAGTGAAGATCCATCAACAGGGGGAAAAGTAGGGGTAAAAAATGCAAAACTGAAAACTTGTCTCCCCATGGATCGAACAAACCTCCATACCAAATTTGGTGAAGATCCATCAACAGAGGGAAAAGTAGGGGTAAAATATGCAAAACTGAAAACTTGTCTCCCCATGGATCGAACAAACCTCCATACCAAATTTGGTGAAGATCCATCAACAGAGGGAAAAGTAGGGGTAAAATATGCAAAACTGAAAACTTGTCTCCCCATAGATCGAACAAACCTCCATACCAAATTTGGTGAAGATCCATCAACAGGGGAAAAGTAAGGGTAAAATATGCAAAACTGAAAACTTGTCTCCCCATAGATCGAACAAACCTCCATACCAAATTTGGTGAAGATCCATCAAAAGGGGGAAAAGTAGGGGTAAAATATGCAAAACTGAAAACTTGTCTCCCCATGGATCGAACAAACCTCTATACCAAATTTGGTGAAGATCCATCAACAAGGGGAAAAGTAGGGGTAAAATATGCAAAACTAAAAACTTATCTCCCCATGGATCGAACAAACCTCCATACCCAATTTGGTGAAGATCCATTTACAGGGAATGAAGTAATGGTAAAATATGCAAAAATGCCCATTAAAAGAGCAAAACTGAAAATTTGTATGTACCCTCGCATGGATCTAATGAACCTCCATACCAATTTTGGTAAAGACCATCCACACCCTGTGAAGTAGTTACATGATCAGACAACAGACAGTGCTATTATTTATATATATATATATATAATGCCTAACAATATAACAGTTACATAGTTTGATAATATTCTGATAATTAAGTAAAAATGTGAATATTATACATCAAAGCACAGTGTATATAGATCAGTCCCAATAAGAGGCTGTCTTATAGCTGCCCTTTGTGTATGAAGAGTTATTAAAAGTTTTGGAATAATCAAATATATGAAGATTATAGGTACAAAGTATTCAACTCGAGTTTTGTGTGGTAAACATTTCAAGCTTTCTACTAACAAACCTTAAAATATTTACTATAGAGAAGTATTTAGTTACTAAGTGTTAAGAAAATCACAACTGGAAGAATGAGAGCAAGATTAACCAATCAGAAGCCAAAAAGCATAATTGATATATATTAGTAGCAACTGATCATTAAACTCGAGCGAAACCTTGTAGAGACAAAAATTAATTCAAATTTTAACTAAAATTAGATAGTATCTACACACACACACACACACACATATATATAAGAGTAATGGTGGGGGGGGGGGTTAACTTCATTAAACTATGCAAAAATAAAATTAAAAGTTACAGAAGTACAGACAACATCATATATGTTAGGAAGGGGTGGGTGTAGATAGTATTATGCATTGCAAAGGGGAAAGGTATTTGGGGAATGGAACTGTCATCTCTCAGATCCCCATCTCAGACAGTCTGTTTTTATGTTTTAAAATTCTGTGTGTGAATTTATTCATTCGTTTATACACACTTAGAGTACCAGTATCATCACCCTGTTGTTTTAATACATGCCCCTCCTCGATACCCAGGTTTTGAAAGCATTGCTAGATCTGGTGCCTCTTACTAGATAAGTTGATCTGTTTGTCATTTTCAATTTGACCCTTCAGCTCAAAGTGTCTTTTGTACGAAAAGTGCTTAATTGGTATCACTTTTTATGGAATAGGCTTAACCCACTTAGGTTTAATTTCACAGTCATTCAGATGCCCCACACGGCCATCAGATTTGTTCAGAATTCTACATACCTAACCTCATATGTGAAAAGTCTAGGCAAGTCACTTAACTATAAGAATGGCAGAAGTGATCCTTATTTATTTTACATTTCATGAACTTTATTCATTCAAATACAAAATACCATAACCCAAAAAGGTTTTGTATGAGAAGCACAAGTTTTCTCCTAATAGGCACTAATCAAGCTGTAAAGGACAACATATAGCATTCAAAAATCATAAATCTCCCTAACTAGACAAAATATATGCTTAAAAATCTTCAGAGTCTCATTCAAAATATTTAACAAAGGAGGAGGGAAAAAAATAGAAGTTTTAACATATCTTTAATCAGTTAGTTACTTGATCAATTCTGTTACAAAAACACTGCTATGATAATTGTGCTGTGTAATTACCTTTTCATCACAAATATTCAAAGTACAACTCACAGTCATGCAAGTTCATGAACTTTATATTCTTTTGTCACTTTAGAAGAAAAAAATGACAAGTTTTTAGGTCACCTTCATAGTGATAATTTTCTTTTGAAATCATCACAGATGTTGGATTTTTTTATATTGGATGGCATATCCTTATACGACTCTGTAGTATTGAAAAAAATACAGCTGGTTGATACTTTTTCATTCGGCTACATCTGCTGAGAAATAAGAGAAGCTAGAGCCATAAAACTCTTACACTTATCACATTAAGATTTATGTGTTACACTACATGGTAAAAGTAATATGGTAAGATAACCTTTAAGCAAGTGACGAGCTGTTATTTTGTCTTAGAGTTATCTAATGTCTCGGCTACAAAAGAATAGAACTGAAGGTGAAGCTATGATTGCTTTCTCAAAAAAGTTTCTTACTTCTTCAATGCCCGGCATGGCCAGGTCGCGGGTTCGAATCCCCATCACACCAAACATGATCGTCCTTTCAGCCGTGGGTGCATTACAATGTGACGGTCAATCCCACTATTCGTTGGTACAAGAGTACCCCAAGAGTTGGCGGTGGGTGGTGATGACTAGCTGCCTTCCCTCTAGTCTTACACTGCAAAATTAGGGACAGCTAGTGCAGATAGCCCTCGTGTAGCTTTGCACGAAATCCATAACAAACAAACAAACTTCTTCAACTTCTACTAGATTGATCTCCAAATGAGTCTCTGTATTAAAAACATATATGGAAGACTACTTATATATACAAACAAACGTATAAGTAGTCTTCCAACCATATAAGTTGTACAATGTTACACAGCATTATTTAAATGTCATCATAAAATGCTGTTTCAAAACAGCAGTTTTTGTGTCAAATGGTTAAATGTATTTTTCCATATACACCACATCCAGAAAATATATTGTGGTTGAAAATTGTAGAATCTCAAAATTTCATCACAGTTTTTCCAAAACAACATTTAACAGTGACAGGTAGGTGAAATACTGTGTTCTAGAATCTACCTTGCATGTCCAGTATTGAAATAATCACATTGATTGGTCAATATTAATATAACCAGTTTCACAATGAAGGTATCTAGCATGCTGAACAGTCAGTATTTACATAACCAGTTCATTATGAAGATAGCTAGCATGCTTACACAGGGTATTGACATAACTAGTTTCATTATGAAGACAGCTGGCATGCTTGTACAGTCAGTATTGATGTAATCAGTTTCACTATTAAGATAGCTAGCATGCTTACTCAGGGTGTTGACATAACCAGTTCATTATGAAGATAGCTAGTATGCACGAACAGGCAGTACTGGTGTACCACTTTCACAATGAAGATAAGTAGCAAGCTTACAGAGACAGTATTGATGTCAACACTATCACTGATAAGACAACTAACATGCTTGAGTCTCGGGACAACTACTTTCAAGTAAAACTCTCCTCGGAGCAAAATCCATTTAATAACAGAAAGAGATTTACATTTTTTATTCAAAATATTTGTCTGATTAAAGATAATTTGAATACACTTACATACTAATCAAAATATCACTGTTATCTTACTTTTTTTCTTCTAGTTCCGACCACTATATTTAGCTAGAGTTTCTCCTCATAAATAATTGAAAAACATTTTTTTCTTTTGCTTGTTATTTACCTAATATATATACATTACATTTATCTAAAATTTCTGATGTAGGAGAAGTTAAGTTAAAGTGTGCATCAAATAATAAATGTCTGTCTTAAGAAATCACGTTTAACATTCTTCAGACACAACGCGTCCAAAGCGTGCCTATGAAGTTGATGGTTGTGATTATTATTTTGTCACATCAAGAGAACAGATGGAACAGGATATTGAAAACCACTTATTTACAGAGGCTGGTCAGTACAATGACCACTTATATGGGACTAGTTCCAGAGCAGTACGAGATGTGGCTGAGAGTGTGAGTAACGAGAGTTCGTGTCTTATTTATGTTGGCCAAAAAAAAAAGTTTCATGCTGAGAAGGACCTTAATGAATATATTTTTTACATTCTTTATAATGTAGTGATTTTTTTTTTACTTATGTTAGAAAAATGACTTTCTTAAATCGTTAGTGTAGATGTGTTTAGTTAGGTATTGGAAAAATGAGCATTTCTGTGGTTTTAGTAATTTGTAACATTTGAATATAATGTTTTAATACTACAGAATAACCATAGGAAAAAAATCTTTAAGTGTACTTTTTAGGCATTCTTGTTATTTTGATTTTTTTTCCTCTCCTTAAATGATCAGCTTAGTGTTTAATCATTGATTATGTCTCAATAGATTTGATGTGTAATGTTTTTATTACCATATTTTATAGGTTGCTGTGTTCTTCAACACAAATCAATGTAATTTTGGTCTTTGTAATCCAGTTTTTGTTCCTATACCTTTTTGTGTTGATCTCAGTTTTTTTTTCTTTATTTTACCATCAGTATTCGATTATTTTTGAACCTCTGTTAAAATGATTTGAATAATTATAAATAAATATCAGAGTCTGTATCTCTGTTGGCTATAGACTAAGCAATCGTATTACTCTTACAAACAACAAATAATAATATAGCTTGTACACCACACATGTAAACACACAGTAGGAAGTGAGGCCCATTCTCAGAAATTAGACCTTGAAGTTCATAAGAATAAAATGCATTTTGTACCTCCTTATTTTAATATAGTGTTGCTATTCAAAACTAATTAGTGTTCTGATTATGTGTAATTTTCACATAACATATAGTCAAGAAAATTGTTAATTGATTTTGTTCTGGCTGCCTTAGTTCCTTTCTTATTCTCTTTAGATATTATCTGGTTTGTTCATGGGAGGTATGGGTGTAATGTTGTACATTATGCAAGGATGTAGACAGTAGTGTCCTAAAACGGTAGATCATGTGGTGCCTTGAGGTTATGACCTCCCTTAAGTTTGAATAATAATGACCAGTCATGTGGTTTGCACCTGTCACTCTGAGTAAGTCTGATACTACCTGTTCAGTAAAGAACGTTAGATTTAAAAAGTCTGGTATATGATCTTGTATGATATAGTTTGGAGAGACAACAGCTTACTATTTAGTAAAAGTGACTGTCCACTGTCCTAAGCTAGTAGACACACTGATTTTATGTTAATTAATAAAGCTTGTTTATTTGTGTGTTACACTGTGTCCATGACATTTATTTCATTTTCATAAGCTCAGAGAAATTTAGAACTACTTCATAATATATATATATACCTTGTAGAATCTCCTGTTATTCAGCAAACCTATTCCATTGCTCAAAAGAAAATCAGTTTAACCTGAATATACAGCAACTTAGAGAATGTCAAGATACTACCCAAGTTTAAAGTTGAAATCATTCAGCTAGGATAGAACACCTAGCTGTACCGGACACAATCTAAACTTATTCTGTACACCAGTAAGAAATACAATAACAACAATATTCCAGAAATTGGGAATATCTCAAAACCAAGTAACCAGGATCAGTTACTTTCCCATACAGAACATCATTAACAAACTATATCTTGTTATAAATATCAGTCACTTCCACCAAAAACCAGCAAAGTTCCTCAGCATAATCATGTCACTTAACTACAGATAATTCGGAAGTTGTAACTTGAGAACAGAAAATTCGGAAGTTGTAAATTGAGAACAGAAAATTCGGAAGTTGTAACTTGGGAACAGAAAATTCGGAAGTTGTAACTTGGGAACAGAAAATTTTCTGATACTGACCTAGTTTCAGGTTATATTTATGCGTAATCACTACAGCCATTAATAATTTGGCAAAACTTGCAGCAGCAATCATTAGGTTGTGTGGTTGGTTTTCCGTTCTCAAGATACAACTTCCGAATTTTCTGTTCTCAAGTTACAACTTCCGGGATATCTAAAGATATTGTTTTACGGTTGAAGAGGATTTTATACTTAATTTTGGATACTGTGTTACAGAAGTTCCTATAAAACTCTTGAATGAATCATGGAAGTTATTTTGTCATGGTAAAGCTGATTCATTTAACCTAGCAACTTGAAAAACAAAATATGTTTTTGTATTGAATTTACCTGCGTATTGAGTTATTTGTGTCACCAAGCCCCCCTGATACAGGAGTTTATTTTACAATAACTTCTTATTTGTTTTGTCATCTGCATGTTTGTCATTTATCCATATACGTTATTTTTCTCAGCAGGGTAAACACTGTGTCCTTGATGTCAGTGGAAATGCTATCAGAAGACTTCAAATGGCTAACCTCCATCCGATTGTAATTTTCATCAAACCAAAATCTGTAAAAGCTGTCTTGTAAGTGTTCATCTTCAGTTATGTGTGTCTAACCTCTTGAGTTAGTTTGATCTTAATTGTCAAAATGCAGTGATTGGATTGCTGAAAAGGTAAAAATATTGATATAACATAAATTATTATTAAGTTTTATAACTATTTATTACTTCAAGTCTCATTCTTACCAGTATTTGTGAGTAATAATATTGTTTTCAGTCACAAAGGCATAGAAACATTGATGAATGTACAAAGCTAAGATTAAACACTTGAGAAAGATGATGGAGAAGTAATAAGAGTTATCACATCTATACAAATGAGCACACACTAATGTTATTCTTAGATTACTGTATGTTTGGAAAATCGGGGAGTCAAAAATATACACAATGGGATATCTGAACTGTGTCCACCATGGATTAAACCTTATAAGCCTCCAACTGACCACTGAGCCAATGGAGAACTTTTTGGAATGATGCACATTAACTTTGTTGAATTCCAAACCAACCACATGCATCTAATTCCTGAAAAATTGTCTTGATACTAATATAATGCTATATGATTGGGAAGTACTTGTTATCATAGCTTTTACACTTTCAAGAAGCACAATTATTCATTGATAATTAACTGTCAGTTGAATAATGCTTAAGATATAAAATACAAAAATACTGCAGCTCAACAACAATGCTTGAGAACCAATTTTTTACTAAGTAACTCTGGTACATCTTTTTAATTCGGAAAGTCTAGATATGTCATATTTTTGAGAAATACATACATTTTGTATCAAAACATAAATATAGTAGCAGTCATTCTGAGTTAGGGGACTAGTGGGAAGTGTAACTGCTATCACATGTTAGATTGAATATATAAAACATTTACTAAAAATGTCTCAAGCCAGCCCAATGAATTAAACATAATTTTATTTTGGAAAGTTGTTGATGTTGTCTTCTTACTTCAAAGGTACATAATGAGCCATCTCCGTCTTGTCCACCACGAGGAATCAAACCTTGAATTATATCTTTTAAGTCCATAAATTTCCCAATGACTCACATGGGGAAGATTTTAAATTATGATAAATGCTGTTTAAAAATTCCTTTTGATTTTAGAGCAACTTGTGATTAAAAGTTTTTCTATTAGTGAGGGTGTGTGTTTGCACAGACTAATATATTCTAGAGGTACATTAAGGAAAGGCATTCTGTTCATTATTCCATGTTCGATTTAGGGAGATGAATAAAAGGATGTCCAAAGACAAAGCCAGTAAGGTATATGATGCTGCAATAAGACTAGAACATGAATTTGCCCAGTTTTTCACTGGTAAGATAGCTTTTAGTAAAGTTAATATTTCTTTTCTAACATATTGTTTGTTTTGCATCACTAAGCAAATGTCACAAATTATTAAAAATAATAGACTCTTAGTATCTAATCACAAATCTCTTTACTGATTTTTACAATTTACAAAAAAGCAGATGTTAAACATATGAAAGTTTTCTTGTTGAACTGGATTATTGCATGTGTTAGTTAGTCCTAAGCTTTTCAGTAACCTGGGGTCAGATATCCACATTTTCAACATTAATTCAGAAATTACAGAGAGTAGAGGTGTTTCCAATAGAATAATGTTTGCATTGTTGGTTGTTTTAAAAATGATTTTCAATAATGTAGATAAGCATATAAACTAACTTTAAAAATATATATATATATTCTCATTTTATCTTGCATGTGTGTGTGTCTATATATGTGTATAAGAGTATACTGAAATAGGTATCAATTTATATGGAGATCTAGGTAGATATTTTGGGTTTCAACTATGATGAAAGGCAGTTTACATAGTTATAGAACATTTCTGAAACCCACAAACATCGTAAAGAAGAGAAACCACCAATAAAGTTGTATTCAAGTAATCAGTTTAAAAATTAAAAAACCAAAAACTCATTGTTGTCATTAGATTGTCATATTCTGTTTAGTAGTGCATATTAACTACTTCTACAAAATTAAAACTGTACATTTCACTAGATATGTGTTGTTGATCCTTGGTATTAATTTATCTTCCCACCCTCTTTTATAGTTTGATAAAAATGAGTTTTTATTATGTTTTTGCTTCTTTTTTTTTTTCTAAAGGGATTATTCAAGGTGACAGTCTAGAGGAAATATATTCAAGAGTTAAAAGAATGATTGTAGAACAGTCGGCTTCTATTATCTGGGTACCAACCAAAGAAAAGCTCTGTAAAACTCTCTAAAAAAAGATGGAATAGATCAGATGGTTTTCCAGTGTTGTGTTGTTGAGTCTCATACCTTTGTCTGTTACATGTGCTTTGGTCTTCTCGTCAACACGTTAGTGAAAGGAGGGAAGAACATGTGCCTGATGATGTGGGGAATGCATTTTAGTAGGTACAAAAAATATGTTAAAAGAAATACAGATTAAAAAAGGGAACAAAAACTTTTGGGTGGAAGAAGACAAACATATCCTGCTAGAGAGATTATGCATTTCCTAAACAAGGAATAACTTGAGTATCTCTTCATCAGTGTTTTGGCACCTTTAAATTTCAGAGTGAATATTTTGTGGATGTCTGAAGACAGGTTCAAATTAGTGTGTTTGAAAATATGGTGCAAAAAAGATTTGTAAATTCTTATGTTGATATGCATGTTCTTTGTGTGTGTGTGTGTGTGTATGTGCAGATGTGATAAAATAAGCTTTTGATGAATTAATTTATCTTTGTAAAGTCTGTTTTATAATGTTATTGTGGAAAGAACAAGAATTTGCTTCTTTGCATGGAACTGATTCCTACAATGTACTTAGGAGTAATATTTGTGCAATTTTTGTTTCGATGAGACTTTTTCGTGTTGAATGTTCATCTATTTTTATCTGTATTTTTTGACTTTCTAAAACAGCATTAATAAATTTAATGTAAGAGGCATGAAAGAGTTTTTGATAAATATTTTTGAAAATCGGTGTACATACATTTTACCAGAATTGTGAAATTTTACCAGAGTAAACTTAACTTGTATCCTAAACTTTAATAAATTCACATTCGTATATTTAATTACCTCTTTCACGGCGTACAATTTAGTGTACAAGGAAGATGTTTCTTTATTTATGTTTTGATTACCTAGCATATATCATTAATTTAAACATGCGCATAGATTTTTATAACAGAGCATAATAAGATTAACATTGACGAAAATAATAAAAGCTTTAAAACTCCAGTTTTCAGTCAAAAATCCAGCCTGCACATGATAAACGTTTTATTAAAAAAAATTGAAATAATAAATGTTTATTGCTGGAATATATGTCTAGAACCATGTAATTCATGTTTACCCAAAATTCACTGTTCTCAATGAATCTGACAGTTCTGTAACAGAAGTGTTTGGAATATATATATATATATATATATCTGTGTTTGTGTGTGTGTGTGTGTGTGTGTGCGTGCAAAATCTTTGTACTTAAAGCTACTCAGAAATTATCAAATTTATTTTTTCTTTTTGAAAATAATCTGTATTCTTCTATTTCTGGTCATCTTAAAATACAATAGCTGAAAACAAGGGATCAAAAAGGTGTTTAATTGGTATGAAACATAGTTTTGATTTTTCATCACTTTATAAATTGATATTAGAAGTTTCTTGAAATGGGTGTGTGCTTTTTTTAAATAAAAACTCTATAACTTTTATTTTTTATCCACATGATTTTCTCAATCAAAGATCTTATTTGTTTTTGAATGTTCATTGCAATATTCGTGTTGTATTCAACTGAGTTTATTTTTCTTATCAGTCAATAAACTTTCCGGTTATGAATTTTGACATTTACAGTGTGGCCTGTATTATTTTTGTTTAAAAACATATTTTAAGAGGACCACTCTTTTATTTACTTATTTGATACAGAAGCTCGTTATTTCTATAATTCCTGATGGGAGTGATCCATATAGACCTTATTAGATTTTTTGGGTCATATTTTTCTGAACTATTTATGTCCCAAATTCCTTGTGGGCCTTTGGTTTTGTTCGTTAGTGACCCTAATAACACTATATGAATCACACAGAAAAAGTTAAACAAAATACCACCAATACTGTTATTAATCCCACTAGTTACATCTGGTGCTCCCTTACTTATTTTACAAAGTAAATGAATAATTTCATCATCTGTGTTCTGCTGTGACAGAATTGTTGTTTGTAATTAAGCACAAAGGGCTATCTGTGCTCTGCCCACCACAGATATCGAAACCGAGTATTTTACTGTTGTAAGTCAGCAGACATACCGCTGTGCCACTGGGGGGGGGGGGGGGCTGTGACAGACAAAAATATAAGATTATTCAATATGATGTAATATGTTAACCTTACCAGCAGTGAACTTTATGTAAACAAGACTGATATAAGTACTCTTTTTTATTTCCAATTATATAAACATTGGTGGCGATGACTGACTGCCATTAACACTTTTTATATATTGCAATACGGTAGTGCTCAGTATATAGGGATGGCCTGAGAGAAAAATGGCCGCAACATTCAATCTATTACTCTGCTAAAATAACTGCTAAAGTTGAGTTATAGCTTTATTTGAACATCTACTTGCCATTATCGAGTGTTTCACAGCTTGTATAACAGTAATAATTTTGTGGGGAAATAATAAAAAGGAAAACTTTTACTTAGGAGTGAGTTCAGTTTATAAACACATATTATTTCCATGTTTCATAAATAACTTTAATTTCTGGTCGCTAGATGGAAGCACAAATTGTTCTTATATAACGACCGTTTGTGAGTTTTCCTTGCACAAACATTACATCTGCCAAAACAGTTTCAGTAAAAATAAAGAAAGAAAGAATAATCTAAATCTGACTACTAATTTTTATATATTTATGAATTAAGTACTAGTGTATGGATAATATCATTTGGGATATTTACTTAGCAGTCACATGCTTTTTGTGAGGTTACTTATCATGTGGAATTGTCACATTAAGACCTGGAATGGCCTGGTAGTTAGGGTTATTGACTCACTCTCTGAGAATTGTAAGTTCAAATCCTCGTCACCAAACATGTTTACTCTTTCAGCAGTGCAGGGCATTCTAATGTGATAATCAATCCCACTGTTGGTTGGTAAAAGAGTTGGTAATGAGTGGTGTTGAATAGCTGCCTTCTTTCTAGTCTATCACTGGTAAAGGATGGCTAAGGCAGATAGCCGGACTCATACCTCTGCACAAAATTCAGAACAAAATTATCATCATCATTTACATTTGTTATGTTCATTTTATAATTATTTTATGTTTTCTGCAAATATTCTGACCCAAAAGTCATTATTATTCTGCAGGAATCACTTTTCCGAGTCTTGAATATGAGTTGTGAACTTTGAAGACTCTAAGAATTAAAACAAATTCTATGGAAAAAGGTTTAATTTCATTTGTGTGTGTGTGTGTATGTGTGTTACTTCACAAACAAAAGATAAAATTTCTCTGAGTAGCTTTACCACTGTTGGGTGTGATAGTGATACAATATGTTTTTATGCGCACAAAAAGAAAAAAGAAGAAGCTCTATGAGTTAGAGAAGTCGAATCACTTCTATGGATTCAACGTCAATACATTTCTGAAAATTTCAGTAAATTTTAGTTGAACAGCTTGGTTATGTCATTCAAACTTTAGCTTACACCAATGTTTTTCAGTTAGATTTGCTAGACTACCCCTCCATCTGGGCTTTGGTCGTCGTGACCCCTCATTATCTCTATAAAGATGAAAAAATTCTTGATGTTTCTTGGCGCAGTTCATCATAGTTGATAAAAAGATGGCACGTGTACCTCTCAGACACTTCTAGGATTAAAAGAAATGTTTCTTCAGCGCAGACAGCGTTTGAGAAACACTGGTTTAGAGCCTTTATTACTGTAATAAAGAGTTCCCAAACGTTTCAGCTTGAAGCTTCAAAACCTCTTTTTACATCCTTGCTGAGGAGCCATTTAACGATATAATAGAATTGTTGAATAATGGCCATTCTGAGGTAGTATACTTTGTTGCAGTTTCTTCTTTAAAACAAAACAAAAACTCAACTGTAAACAACGTTGTGTAGATATAGGTATTGCAACAAGTAAAATTATCGCTGAAAGTATTGCTTTATACCGTGTCGGTGATTAAAGAGAATATTTCCACGCATGCTGAAGTCCTCCTGAGACCGTTTGGTGGACCAATTTGGGGTTCACTGTACCCAGTTTGGAAAACATTTTCTATATGAGTTAAAAACACACACACATGTAGATCACTTACGTTGGCAGTGGCGACGATTCTGTAATAAACTTACTAAACATGGGTCTTATAATATTGATAGAGTAACAAGTTGATCTTACCATAGGCACTTACCCAGTGGGGTGTAAGGAACATGTGCCATCCCACTTTGAATATTTCTTTTAGCACCCCCACTTTTATATATTAATCTTACCAAACATAAGTCTTATAATGTTAATAGATTAGCACTTTGATCTTACAAACCTGAGTTTCGTAAAATGGGTAACAAGTTCATCTAACTAAGCCTAATATCATTCTTAAATGTACAAAAGTCTTTGCATTTACTGTGATTAAATCGCAGAAGTTGCTGTTAAAAATAACGTGTTGACTCGTATGTACAATTCTTTTTATTCTTCTGTCTTTCTGTTAATCAGTCACATTTTTCGAACTGATGTATTTAAGTGTTTTACACTCACAAAAAAATAAACCTATCCTTCTATAGGTATTTGAAGACCTGGTAGCATTTCGCCACAATTAAATTCTTCGTATTGTTA